GATCTCTATGTACATGATTAAGGTTAACAAATGTTGTCACTGAGACGTGTATGTGTATGCTTATGTGCTTTCCTTTACAAGACCATTAAGCATACGCTAATATTAAGCCTCCTCCTCTGCAGGTCTTTTTATGGAATAGACTGCTTAGGTTTGTGAAGTATGAATGAAGTCCTTGGGGACTGATGCTACTTCACCTGAGATCTGTTACAGAATTTCTTTAGCCTTTGTAGAGAAGAAAGGCAAGACTTTCTTGGATTTTTGAATACTGTTATGATTACAAAAGAGGACTATCCATTGATTTTGGTGGAAGTAATGGAATAAAAGGGGCAATAGTCATTGTATCATTAAAAGAGGAAAGAACAGAAGAGGCTGAAGGCAGAATACAATTACGATCACACTTCAAAAATTGTACCTGGTCTTATACTTTACGTTACACTTTGCCATAAATGCCTAATATTTAAATGTATACATCTGAAAGAAACACTTAAGTTTTAATTGTTTTTTTACCTTGGGGCAGTAAACACTAAATAAAAGGAGGTGAAAAATCCTACATACATATTTGGCACTTAACATTGCCAACTATAATTAATATCCTTCATAAACATTTAAAGAAACATGTATTTATGTCACTTAGCCAAATTTATTAGTGTTAGCATTTTCAATCTTTCTAGATTTTTTGGTTTCCATATTGCTGAAAGGCACAAAAAATCTCAGATTTATTCAAGCTGTTTGAAAAGAAATGCACACAGAACATTAAGTAGTTGCTCAAATGTTGCTGAGCAGTAAAATACTATGATAAAGTGGCATCTTGCTGTGTCTCTATTACTTCTTCAGCACTAAAATTAATTTATGATCAGTCATCAATTCATTTACATGTCATTTTATGCTAAATCCATCGTTGCTGATGAATGCATATCCCTAGATCCATTAAGCTAGAGTAAAGTCTGTGCTTTATAATATGACCCTGCTAATTGTTGCATTACCATTTTTATGAGATACAAAAAGTAGCAGTTCCCTCTTTTCAGAGCACATATTTAATCCATGAAACACATTCTTCCTATTAAATGCAATCTGTCTAACTGCTTATAAAATAGAATCTTTTGCAATAGGTATCCCTAAGCAAATCAATATAAATATTGAACTCTGCCACAGTAAAATATGGTTAATGAAAATGATTTTGTGTAATTTTGTTCACTGACACAATGAATGAACAACTTTTACTACACTTATGGTGATCAGTGATTCTTTAAATCAAGACCAAAATATGCTAAATAAGAGATTTTGTTCCTATGGAGATCTTTTTAATTTCAGATCTACATAATTCTATTTAAAAAAAAGAAAAAGTTATCCATTTGCAGTGATACTTCTTACTAGAATATCTCTCTGCTTGTATCAGTTTCTATCAGTTAGAAAAGGGCTTGTTCTAATTTCTGGGCTAGTTAGTGGATGTGTCTCTCAGTCACTGTAATAGCTCACACTCCCAACTCCACTGATGGTGCTGGAGGAGGAAAAGGTAAGGAGAGGGCAAAGAAAAACCCCAAGCCATAATGCTCTGATCTAACAAAACCTAGTGTTGTTCTTAGTGATTTCAGTGAGAAGCAAATTAATTTCTTACATAGTCATCGTATACAATTAATCAAATCTATTAAAATAAAATAATGTAGCAGACTCTTTGTGACTATTCATGCCATAGCTCTGCACAGCTATTCACTATAAAGGCAAACATTAAACATAAGCAAAAGAAAAAATATATTTTGGTGTGTCTCTGAAAGTAAAAATAATTCTAAATAGCTGTGAACTAGAAGTCAATTGAGCAGAAGTTTTACACCTGCTTTTCAGTTCTTCCTTTTTTTAAAAAAAAGAAAAGATTAGGATCAGTATCTCAGTATCCTAACAAACCATGCTGGGAATGAAGTTAAACTTTGGCTTTAATTTCATATTCCATCCCACAAACTTTCAAATCTAAACCTCCGTCCTTGAGGTTTTTTGGAATATTTGAAAAACGTTAAGATACAGTTACTCTGCACTCCTCCTTTCTTTTTACTTTATAATACACGTCAACATTATGTCTCTGCCACTTGCAAAGAGAAAAGCTTAACAGCGCAGATTAAATCCTTGTCTGACTCTTCAGCTAGCTGTAACTAAAACTCAAGTGCCGGGAAGACAACCTGACTTTTAAACAGTTTAAAGGAGCAGCACCACGGTTTCAGAGGAATTTAGCAGTTTGAATTCGGCTCACACAGCACCAGTGTTTCCCCTCAGAGAATTCCACACTTGGCATTGGATGAAAAACCCTGGTCTCAGGTCAGCTATAAAGAAAAAGGTACCGTTTCACTCCAGGAGTGGCTATCTTCAAGTCATCACTGAGGCATGCTAACAGGACAGGGTGAGGAAACTCACCCCACTTGCTGCACAGCAACTCCATTCGGAGGCGGTCTGCACCCAGAGATGTCAATTTAGATTTCTCACAAACACTGAACTCATAGAGCACGCTTCAAAACGAACAGAAATACTGCTTTACTGGGTCAGCTGTTCTCATTTGCCTCCATTTTTTTTGATATAATGTTTAAAGAAGTGAAAATGTGGCATATAAATTCCTAGGAAAATGCTAATTTAAGTCACCAAAAGCCCTGTGAAATGAAGTAGCTTATGTATTCTCCATGCAAGAAAGAACAATTTAGTTGTTCTACAGTATTCTAAAAGCAATTAAATTTAAGAATGAGAAACAACTTGGAAAGAGCAAATGCAATTTGTTATATACTCTCTTTAACACCAGTAAACACAGCCTGGAAGAGTTAACAGAAACACACACAAAAATTAAAATTCTCCTTTGAAACAATTCCCCCAAGTATAATAAGCAATTTCCTTCCACTCCTAGGAAAAAAAAAACAAGCCCTCAGAAAATTGAGGGTTTACCCATATAGTAACGGAGAAGCACAGTAGTTTGGTTATTTGGAGAGTTTGCCATTTTATGGATCATTTAGACTAACGCTCTGGTTGTATTTTTGCAAGGTTATAGTTAAGTAATTGCTTTAAGTCAATCTAAGTGTTGGCTATATGCTGTTGGAGCAGTCTATCATTTTTCTTCCCTTCCAGATGCACATTGCCTTCCTGCAGTGCTGCCATGTGGTGAACGAGATCAAGGAACAGATAACAAGCAAAAGAAAAAGCAAACAAAACCCCTTTCATTTTCAGCTGGACGAGGCCATGTCAAGATAGTGGTGGAAATGAGTGGGAGTGCATTTAGATCACCTAAAGTACACCCCCAGTCTACCTTACCAGGTTCTGCCCAATTTCTTAAAAAGTTTTTAACACTCCAATAATTAAACATTTAGCACTCCAATAATGAAACAAGATTTATAACTATTATAACAATCTTGCATGTTACTTATAAACAGATGAACTGCAATAACCATAGAAGTGTATGAAATGGAGCATAAATGCAGCTACTCCTTACTTTGCACTAGGTAGGATGGTCCAAAATATTGAAGATGCAAGTGAGAAAAACATTCATCTTCTGATTTACAGATATATCAACATTGGCATATTAATACATACAAAATGAAAAATACATAGCAACTTGAATTTTTTTTTATTTATTTATTGCTGTATTACCAGTGCCAAACCCTTACTGCATTCCTAATGGAAAGGCTTCTGAGCCATTAGTGAGATATGCAAAAATATGCAGAATTATAGCCTGAAGGAGATTACACTAGAAATTCAAGCAAAGTAACTTAACATACTCATGCACTAATAAGTTAACCTTCTCAATTCAGGGATTTAAACTTTAACTCCACGGCCTTCGGTTGAATCTGGATTTCAAATCAAAGCAGCAGAGATACAATTCTTAAGTCTTAATTAGATTGGCAAGCAGTCTGGCCCTAGGGTGAAGTAAAACCTGGAAAGTGGGATTAAGCTACACACTATTTAATTCAAGAGGGGAAAAGGAGGACAATTATAAGTATTGATGCTCCATCACTGTCATATTGCCGCAGTGCTTTCAAAATAGCAATGATTAAGTAAGGGTGCAAAATCCTTGGAAATGGAATGGGCTACGGTATAAGTTGTACTGAGCGAGTCTCCCCTAAGGTACAACTAACAATCAACGTTCTTCCACTGAGATCAAAGACTAAAGAATATTTATGTAATATGGACAGCATGTACATTTGGGTCTCCAGTGCAGCTGTACATTATGGATACAGTATATCATATAGAGGCCCAAGTTCAACCTAAAGGGAAATATACTGATGCTTGCAAAAAGTACATTATGTCCATATAAGGCTTGTATTTTTCAAAAAAATGTCTTTCACTACGCACATTTCATAAACAGTAATTTTATTCAGAGTCTGTACATTAGTTTAGCATGCCTTTCTAGGTGCCCTTTGATGATCCCTGTGTAACTCTCCAAGACACACAAAAGGTGAGAAGCCGTGAAGGAAAAAAAAAGAATAATGAAATATCTTCACTGAAAGGGAACAAATACTAAATTCAGTAATACAGAGTAGGTTCAAAATACTCATTTTCCTACACAAATCTTGTATTTACAAATAACTGTGGTGTTGATCCAACTATACTTATTCTGAAGTCTTTTAACTTCCCTGCGTTCATCTGTGAAAGCATTTACCCAGCAAAATATCTAGAAATGCTTTAAGATAACATTTTTATGCTGCTCCTGATTTATGAAATATATATTACTAAACTGAGGTCTTCCTCCTTTTCATGTAACTGGCTTGCTTCTCCAGTAGAGTGAAATTTTCATGAAAGCTAGGATATAATTGAGTTTTCTTTCAAGTCTTTAAAGCTTTTTAAAATTCATGAATTTTCTTATCATTTTGCAGCAAAGCAAAGTATTTTCAAATCCTTCTTTAGTGTTTAATATTAACACATTTTAAATGTTACAGAAATAGAGTGGAATAAATTTTCATTTAGAAAGCGTTTGACTGAAGACGTATTTTACTGTTAGGAACAAGTTGATGTCACTGTTAACTGTGCTAGGTTACCTGTCACAGAGCTGTCTAGATTGTCCATACTGGAGCCTGGAGTATGCTCTAGACCTCTCAGCGGCCTACTGATTTCTACAGTTTCCTCTTCAATATCATCCTCATCATCATCATCATCATCTGGAACATCTGTTTCCAAATCTGAAATAAGGTTTCCAGATACATATCCTAGGGGAGGAACTGGAGCCTGAGGAGGTTGTGTATTGCTTTGGATGTGCCTACAGAAACAAAGAGGAAAATGTCACCAGAATGGATGAGGCTTTGTACCCCATACTCAACAAAAGATAAGCCTTTCAATAAGTCCTGACATAGATTAACAAAATGTGCTTGTTAGGTCAAACTCAAGAAAAGTCAGTTCAGTTATACACCGTAGCTTCCCATACCAGAGTACCTGTACACTTTCCAGTCTTAAATATACTTCTCGTCATGTAAGAAGGGAAAGGTCAAGATTGTTCTTTTACAGATGAGGAACAATGTACACAGAGGCTACATAAATCAGGTAGAAAGTCCATGGAAAAGCACAATTCTGAATCTCAACCCAGCACAAATGTCTCATCCAATTTTCCACCTTGCAAATTACAGGTTGAGTCAAAATTAAATTTCACTGCTTCTGCTTAAACAGACTCAGTGCCCTTAAGCAGAAGTCATCCTAAAGAGGAGGAAATGACCAGCATGACAGCAAGGCTGTTTTATTTTGTTTTATTCCAAGTAGATTGATTGATTTAATTGCAGTAGTATTAGGGCATGCACGTGTGAAATTACTGCATGCACCAATCACAATTTGAAAAAAAGAAAAATAAAGATAAAAAACATTCACAGGATAGCTAAATGGACAAAGGCAAGCATGGAACTTGGGAGTTTCATTTGTGTGGTCTCTGAGAGGCTAGAGAGGAAAAGAACAATCATCAGCTTTCAAGGCAGCATTCTGCAGAGCACCACAGGTACTCAGCAAGCTGTGCCAGGAGATCCAGGCATGACTGGCCTTGGCATAAGAGCATGTACCACGTCTGAAATTGCTAACCTAGGCACGTGGGAATCCTTGGGTGGCTGTACAGGAGGTGCCGTGACCTGATTCGATATGGCAGTGCTCTGGACAGGATCCAGGATTCTGCTGGTCTCTTGCTTGGACATCAGCATAACAGAAAAAATTACAACTGTCACCTGTTTGGTTTCCCAGCTCTAATATATTTTCAGTGAAAACTTTGAACTGTGTTATTGCCTACGCTTGATAAATGCATTAATTCTCTTTATTCAAAGAGAGGTTTTTTTCATAATATAATTTTATTGGATCTGAGAATGTCATGGGAAATGTTATGTACCACTGGAATCTCCACCCCAGTGTAGGTTTTAACTTATTGCTTATTCTGAAGCTTATTTGCAGAGCAAATGCTTCCCTTCTTGTATACAACTCTCTGATTAGCAGTTCTTGAATACTTTTCTGCCTGGACACCAGGTTCTTAGCTATGCAGTGCTCAAAACACTGCGCTAAAGGGCACTACCATTTAACTAACCCTCAATAAACAATGTGATTATCTCCCAATCAAGCAAAATACTTAAGTATATGCCTAAGGTTAGGCATGTGATAAAACAATTAAAGAAAATTTCTCATGTACTTGTAGTTAAGCATAGACTTGAGTGATTTGCTGGATCAGGGCTGTAATGATTATGTACTTTTCCAGTAACCTCTAATGTGCTCTTTCTTAAACTTCTGTTTGGCTGGTCTCTATATTTGTCTTCTGTCCCTCCTACAGTAACCTACCTGACAGGTTTTGCTTTTCCCCCTCTACACTGGATAACTTTGTGAAAAGAAAACAAGAAATCTTCCTTCTCACTTAAGGACAATGAGGGACTTCTCACTGATTTGAACAGCATTTGCTGAACAGTACGACATGTATCCAGCCAAACAACATCACAGCATTAAGCAATTCCATGTCACAACTACTGCAAAAATCATTTGTATTTACAACCTTCAATATTTACCCCAATATCAGCCATAAGGCCCTAGTATGAAGAAAAGAGGTTATCCCCTTGATATTTTGTTCAGTTTCAGACTCAACTACTGAGACCTTACACAAGAGTGACATTAAAACCTGTGTATTCCTGAGCACATTATGAGAGTTCCCAATCAATTTTAATCTCTCAAAAAAGGGAGCAAGACCTTTCCCGTCAGCTGCAAGAGGCTTTGCCACAGAGTCCTACTACATTATTTGCCTCCAGACTGGCGCCCACAGTTTGTAGGACACAGAAAGGGTAACAGCTGCAAAATGCAGCAGCGACTGACTGCGCAGGCAGGGCATGCATCTGTGTGCTGGCTCAGAAGTCAGCTACCTTCAATAGGCCAGGTCTACCTGCTGCCTGGGATTTGGGTCTGTCCCACAGGCAGGCTGGGGTCGGTGCTTGGCAGCGCGACGCTGCAGCGGGACCAAAGTACCCTGTTGATTGAGTGCAGATTGCAGACAAGCCTCGAGGCTTCGATGGTGTCCAGGGAAAACAGCTGGCTTTGATTTGGCACTGCCTGCCTACCTGGCTGATCTATTTATGGTAGCTCAAGCTGAATAACTTTGTGGCTTTATTTACCGGGGAAGAAAGGCTGCTCCTCTACTGGCAGCACGCCATTCAGTAACTAGCTCTGCTCCTCTCCTCTGAGATTCACAGGCTTTGTCTAGGTAGAAAAGTTGTAAAAGGACAACTGCTGCTTAGGGAACATCCAGAAAGCAACTGACCTTCACCGTATCCCCAGCATGGTGCAGCTGACAAGTTCTTTTTCAGTCCCTGAAGAGATTGCTTCTATTTGTTTTGCAGGGGAAATGTTACTGTGGTATTTGCTTGCTCTTCCTTTAAATAAGCATAAAGCACTCTAGAACACTAGATCCATTTTGCAAATACAAATGACTTCCTTTCTGCTATTTCTGGGTTTTTCACTATGAATCAGAAATTTTCATGGTTACAGTCAGAGATGCAAATGCTTCATTGTTATGTGACACAGGGTAAAAGCCACTACGCTGCTATTTCAAGCAAGTAGCATTGTTTTTAATCAGGAATTTAGAATCTCACTATTTTTGAAAATCCTAAACAAAAATATCATTATCTTTTGCTAGCCTGAAAAGAGCACTCTGAACTGTGTAAAAGTTGCCAGTGCGGGGTGGGTGGGTGTTAAGTACTTGAATATATGTAAAACTTCAGAGAAATATTACCTTAAGTATTTTTAGCCAAGATTTAACATATTACCAAGCATTACGGTTTCAAAAGCACCTACTAATGTGAAGGCCTTCACACTGTAGATACAGCTCTGCTATTTCTTCTTCCATTTTACTGCTTTGGAAACATTACTGAAATGTAGTTAAACACAACTGATATTTATGTCATCAAGGAATATATCATTATCACGCTTTCATTTCCCAGACCGCCGCTGTCCCCTTCAAACATTTACCATGTTTGCTTTGCTATATCGAACTGGTAAGCCCTAGTTAATTCATCAAGGTGAGCTTGAAGCATTGGCTGCATCTCCTCTCGTGGAGAAGGCGTTAGGGTTGCAGTTGACTGTTGCCCAAAGGAGATCGCAGGTGATGAAGCTACTCCTCGGACAGGAGGTGTGGGAACACGATCATCGTCTTCTTCAAGCTCATCTTCCATGCCCTGATGTAGGTAGGTCTGAACTGGCAAAGGCGGGCACCAACCATCACTGTCATATCTATAATAAAAACCAAGTAAACTTAGTATACATCAAATCTCTTCTCTGCCAGGGAGTAGAGGGGTATGTAAGATTTCTGCTAGATTTTGAACCCTTGCACTGAGTGTGAGCTTTAACATTTATTGAAAATAGGGTCATAATTGCTTAAACTCTCGTTACTGAGTCTAATTTTTCCCACAACAGTTAAGCAACATGAACAAGATGTACAACAAAAAAAATTACTGATCCATTATCACATTTGTTAATAGTGATTAGACAATATTAATCCACAATCAACAACAAAAATGAACTCACTTCCTGGATCATTAAACTAGGAGAACAGATGAAGATTGACCTAGACATGAAAACAGCAACATTCTTAAAAGGCAGAGTGAGCTTTATGTAGTCGCACTTATGCACTTCTGTACTCACATCCTGCCCTTTATTTGTCTAAAAATTTATTATTTGGTTGCGTTTTGCAGCTTAAATAAAAAGCTATGCTTTCCACATAAATTCTGCATACAGGTATCTACTGCAATGTGTAATACATTCATGCGGTAGCAGCACTGGCCCTAAGCATATGCTATGTCACAGCACACATATTAGCACACATGTTGACAACTCTGCCAGCACTCCACCTCCTAACCAATCCTTACAGGAAGTTACCTAGACAGTGCTAGACGTCCAAACACTTTATACACACTTTCCCAAAGTAAACTAGAATATTAATAACTATCAAGATTCTTCAATACCAAATTCTTCTCTCTTCACATACAAGAGATGCTTTTGGGGTTGAATTTTTAGTCTTATGCCAAGGGTGTAAGAGGTCGTGCTACATATGATCAGAGTTAGAAACAGAAGCTTTATATTCCATCACCACTTCTTCTGCAAGATTTGACAGCAATGCAATTCTTTTCTGTCTCTGTTCTCATCACAGGAGCTTTCAATTACAATATCCTCCCAGGACTGTGTCCCTCAGAGACAGCACTCAAGACGCATAGGCCCTAGTGATTGGTTGGTCATTCCCTGTGCATTAACGCTCCAGAGTAATTCTCTAATCTGAACACAGCTTCGGGTGTCTCTGCTGATGATCACACCACTCAAAACTCAACACTGTCTACTATTCCCATCTTCAAAACACCCAGCCAGTCTGCAGTCCCTTGAGCATCTGCACACACTTCTTAACTCCCAGCATACTCCAAAATACCTCAGGTTAGCCCAGACAACCAAAGCCTCTCACAGCTCCTTCACTGTCAAATCATCTCACACTCTAAAGGCCATTCCCCAAGCATTATCTAAGTCATTTTACCTTCTTTCCAACTTCTGGGACTGCTGACAAGATACACCTCTTATGTCTGCAATGCAGGCAGGCAATACACTGTGTTATAAAATTCATTTCTCAAACCAGTTTAAAAATACTCCTTTAAAGCTCCTGATTTAGAAGGAGGGAATTATCAGTTTCCCAGAGAAAAATGTATCACTGCTAATTTTCTCAAGTGTGAAGCTGAGTTACAAAAAGGCTGGGAACACTGAGGCAGAGAAGTTTCAAAATCTATGTTATGAACAGAACATTTAGTTTAAGCAAAACCCAAAGACTCCTAAAAATAACTAAACTACTTTTTTTCTTATTATAAAGATGTAGTCTGTATTTAAAAGTATAGATTCAAGATAGCTAAAACAACCTGACTTATCCAAAAATCTGTGGAACATGTCTCATTATTAAGGTTGGTATCATTTTAAATCTATATGTAGATATAATGATATCTAGATATAGAAACATAAATCCATGTACAGACGTGCAAATAAATGCTGCATTTTAACGCTTGTCATTTAGGAACTTTTGAATGAATGATCATTCTCATAACACAGAGATTTAAGAAAATGTTACATGATACATATTAAATTCCTTAGGAAACAACTAAGATATGCTTAGCTCCAATTTGTCTTTCCTTGCAGCATTCACTCATGACATTGCCACCCGAAGGTGAAGGGACCGTCCTAACTCATGCTGCTAAAAATGTACAGTGCAACAGCTCTGTCACTTACTTTTACTCTCTCAACATCATGCTTTGGTATAATGGCTTCTTCTTGAAAAGGGACAGGGCAGAAGGACACTCCTTAGTGACTCTTCAGTAATGCACAAATGAGCTTTGAATGTGCTCGCCTTTTGACCCTGCTTGCTTCAAATCCCCAAACGTTTAGCTTGATAGTAAAGAGATTTCTTAGTAAAAAGATTTCTTAGTAAAAAGGTTCTGCACAAGTGCTGTATCTTTACCTACGTTTTGTTTGAAATGGAAAGGAGCCTAAGCCTGAAGTTCAGGATATTGAGATTCAAGATGTCAGGTATAAGAACCTTTGTCTTCATAACGTAAGATGTCTGAAAAGCCACCAGTTCTAACCTTCATTTTACAAAAAAAAATCTGCAAGAAAAAGCCAGCAAACCTAATGGACAACATAGTACTGACACCTCAAATAAATGATACAGTTATTGAAACTTCTAGAATCAGAATAGTGAATACTGATGATATCCACTTTCTTTTTGGTTTTCTGAGTAAATACAACTTGATGAAAATGCATGCAACCTTTTTCAAGTGCTTCTTATTAAAATCCCTGATTGTAATTTCATGATAATTAAGTCCCTAATAAGTTCTGGTTAACAAACATGATTTTCTGTGTTTCTAATAACTTTTATTCTATTCTCAGCATTTTATTCTGTAACAATCTTTTGCTATTAAAAAGCCTGGTTCATTACACTGATAGATCTTTTCACAGATGTGATGGATAAGGGGCACATGCTACAACAAGTCTGTTTCATTATGCACATCGTTGCAACAGAGAAACGTTCTCTCTCTCAAGGGGAATCCAGAAGGGATTATTTTTTTGATGTAAAAGGTATTACCTTCTTTGATTTTTCTAAAACCAGAAAATAACTAGCAAATATATTGACATCCAGCAGCTATTATTCCATTTTAAAGTGGAATCACCAGTAAGAAATAAAAGTAACCAATGTTAACAATACTAAGACTGCCTTTCCTGGGGTTGGCTCAAGATCATGCACATTATTGGTGAAAAAATATAAGTAGATGATAATGAATAATGAATAAGCATTTCTTTACTGTCAAGTTCACTAGATAAAACTAAGCAAAACCATCTTATTTGAAAAAGGCAGAAAAAGGAATATGCTGGATTGGGAGCTACTACAGGAAAAGAAAATTTCAAAGATTGTGGTATATACAGATAAAATTAAGGAAGACAACAAGGAACAAACACAGACTTTGCAGAAGACCACAGAAAAAGGGGAAAGTTTCACAGGAAAGAGCTTGCTGGGAAACAACAGTATAAACAGACTTTTTGTACAGGTTAAATATGAATTTAAGACATCTCCAAAGCTACCACATTATATCACCTTTCCTTACGTTTGCTGCAGTTCATGGAAAAAATGGAGGTGAATGCAAACCTCAGTTCTTCTGAGAAGAAGGCAGTAGAGAGAACTAAGAGTGGGGGTTTTTTTCATTTTTGCCTATGATAGCTAGATGACTTTTTTGTCACTTGCTGCTATTGTGGATTTCTTTTATAATTTATAAACCAATAGGACACTAGTGTTAATTTCTAGTAACCAAAATTAGGTGCCAAAATAGTTTAGTTTATTTGGGATACTCATGCTAATCAAACTCACATTTGAATTCAAGAGTTTTAGGAAGACATGCATAGAAAAATAAGTCTCTATTTAGATGTCAGCTTCCTTATTTTAGTACTCTAAACATTCACCTTTCCTGTAACTTTGTGAGAACTTTATTAAAGTTTTTGCTTTTTCTGAGTGAGAGTTCATTTTTCAATTGTATAGTTACATCTGCAGGTAGTTAATTCTAAAATTAAAACACGTTGACTATATCATACCTGGTATACATCAAAGCAAGTCAAGAAAAACAAAACAGTTTTAAAAGAATTGTATACTTATTTTTTTACCTGATACATCAATATTAAAGGCAACATAAGGAATGCAGTCTATGATTCATTCCATTTTACTGTGCTGAAAACCAGAGAAGGAAGATCAACACTTGAATACCGAGCAGCCATTAGTATCGGCTAAAACCTCGTATCGGCTACATCCTCAGCAAGTCTGGGCACTGCAAGTCCACTGGGTTCAGTAAAGTTGATTGCAAATTACTGTAGCTCAAGACTAATACTGTAAGTCTAATGTTCAAATTCTTTTTTGGCTTTGGTAAAATGCACAATAGGTCTTGTTTCAGTGACTATTAATGAGATGTTACAAAAAACTGAGAAGAGTAATTCAAAAGATAATCAGAGGAAAAAATAAATCTGGAAACCTGGAAGGCTGATGATTTAAGGATAAGGACCTTATCCTTAAATAACCAGTGCTGTCTTGGTGATCAACATCATTCCTCCCAGCTAAATAACAGTTACTTTATGTAACTGAGGAGTCAAGCCATGTGTCAAAAGGGATTTCTCTAGAAGGTACTTCCACTTCCCTTTTATGGTATTTCATTGTCCTGAAATGAAATCCAAGTTGCTTGTCTTCTATACATAATTATTTTAGTGAAATGGCTGCAGAAGTGTTTTAAGAATATAAATTGATAAAGACAAATATTATATGGTGAAATCATCTTAGATTTATTTTAGCTTTTTATAACAGAATACAGAACATAATGATTATATGCACTTTTTGACTTGAGATTTAAACACCACTTACAATCAGTAAGGTTACTCATTTTTCTCTATATTTGCTTTGAAATTCTAATCATAATGCAACCTGAATGGACTTTCATTTTAAAAGGAACTCCACTGGCTTACAACATTAGCTGTTACTCATTTTAAAAGATGAAGGACTTGGTATAAACTCAAATATTAGTATTTAACTCTTCTAGTTTTCATTATAAAAGTAGTGATGATCAATTCATGCTTACAAAAGAGGTAACATTTGAAATTTTTTTATTCAGTAAAGCTATTACAATGATTTTTAAAACGTATGTTTCATCCTCAGGAAATATTGATTAATCCATGTACTTAAACAGGCAGAAATTTGTCCCTGACACAATAATCATTCTCAAAGCCTCCAACAGAGCTGACCATAGTAAACTATTTCTCTATGTACTATATTTTTTCTCTAGACTTTGATAACCTGGTATTTCATATAATTTCACTTCATAAAAAGCATTCCATAATTGTTGTCCATGCAAGAAATGTCTCTTTCCTCTCATTCAGTGCTTTTTGTGTGATTTTGTGACATTAAGAACAAGTTCAAGCTATCAAAAAATAAGTGTAAGGTTCCAGAAACTCAAGAATTGTTTAAATAATTTTTAAAAGGCCTATAAGTAGCACGCCTTCCTCAAAGAAATTTGAATAAAATATCTCCTAAAAGCTGATGAGAAAATTATCATCCAGCGGTTGATCTTCTACAAATCATCCAACAACAATTAACGTTGGGGGGTTTGTTCTGTTCGCTCTAATATTTTCAAATATCAAAGCAGTGAAAATAATACAAGAAGCCAAGCTATGTCATCCTTACTCTGAGTCCCATCATCTGCAAGCAGTTCTAATAGAATTCAATTAAGCTACATGTGAAGTGAGATGCTTCTCAGCATGAGTAAGCAGAGAAGCCTCATGTGATGATGAGCAAGGTCAGTTTTATTTCCATCTTCAGACACTATCAAGAGAAGCTATTCAAAGATTCCTCCTCCAAAGCTTTGAATAAACCTATAGGATAAAGTGCTTTCTCTTTTTTCTTTTTTTTTTTAAATAAATATTGTCAGTTAGCAAAATTAAAAACAATTTTCAAGGGCCTCATCTCTGCAAAGCACAGATTTTACTTGAAAATAAAAAGACAAAAAATTACCCTGCTTCTTGCTGATCCACCCCGTAGTGTTCCAGCTCTGTGCCTGGAAGTGGCTGAACGGGAGGGGGTGGGAGTGGAACACTGGCCCAGTTGGAACCATTATTTTTCTGGGGCTTGGCAGTATTTTTGTTTTTCTTCTTTTTCCCTCCTTTGCCACCTGCAAATCCAAAAAAGATAATTAAAATGTTAGAAATATAATGTGGGAAAAAAAGCTAGCTATTTCCATTTCTTTGAATTCTGATTCCAGATGGCAGGCCCCCCAAAAAAGAAGATGTATTTATATCTCAGTAGAATCAGCATCAATGTACTAATGCTGTTACAAGGTTATAAACATATTTTCTGATTTATTCATGCCTGCTTCATGACTTTTTGAATTCACTGTTAGATAAAAATATAATAGACCATAACAAATTATTTCAAATGTCAGACTCCAATGTGCTTATAACACTGTTTTGCATAATCTCTTTCTGTGGAAAACGCAGAGGTTAAGGACACAATCTAAGAAAAATTCTCATTAGACTCAATATCTTTCACCCAGCATGACAAGTATAAGTTGTCAAAACAAAAAGAAACGGGTTTGCTAATAGGAATTTACTAAGTTTCACTTTTTAAAACATCAGGAAGTCATCTGCAATATTTTAGGAGTGTCTGTTTCATAGGACTCAAATATCTTGTGCCACTGTGGAGAAGAGGTTCTATTTCTGATGTACAGCTCTAATGGAGTAGGCCAGTAGAAATGAAGTGAGCAATGTATTTTGGTTAAGTTCCTCTCCTCTCCTCTCCTCTCCTCTCCATCTTTATCTCTTCTCATCCTTGTACCCAGTTCTCTTTATCTCTTCTCATCCTTTTACCCAGTTCTCCAGTGAGACACTTCCAATTGTGGAAAAGTGAATTTAAATAGAAATCTCTCATCCCATTTTGTTTCGCTTCTTTTATTTTGCCCTGACTCCTTCTTCTTGTCAGGAATTCATTAA